ATGCAGCTTGCTTGCGGGGTGACTTACTCCCCAAACGCAAGCACTGCCACACTGAGCAGTGACCATGGCCCATCGTCACTTGGCCAAATGCAGCTCTGGGGTGCAGAACTAAGGTTTCGAAAGTTTAGTGGCTGTTTGGAAAGGTAGTTTTGGTTTAAGTTCCTCTCCCACATGAAGTTAAGACCTCTTTCAGGCAGTTTCTGTACAGGGGAATCACGTGAACGATTTTCTGTTGCAACCAGGTTTTCTTATCCTGCTATTTGATGGTTAATAGGGGTTATACAGAGCCTCATTCAAAGTCCATAAAGGATCCTTCTGCTGATTACTGTGGGATTGGCTCAGTCCCTTGAGGCAATAAGGAAATACAAGGCTTTGATTTGCAGGGTTTGTATTTTCTCACAGCTTGGCACCCTGATGAGTTTTGCCTTATTTTGTGTTAAATCAAAAACTCTCATTACTACCATAATTCCCCAATAGCCCCATTTTGTTCACTACTGGAGCATGGTTCACAGGGAGGTTAGCAACATCTGGAACACTGATGAGTTAATGTCTCAGTAATTAGGACTCCTGTGAACAAAAATTACAGAATTAATGCAGCTGTGACATCGCTCAAAAATTAGCTTTTTCTTCATTTGTTTCATTGATTCTGTATCATATCTTAAGTTCAGAAGCATGTGCTGTATTTAGAAATGAAACATACACTCACAAGTTTTCTGAGATCATAGTCATATTTTCACCTGGATTGGGAGCCATCCAGTGGTATCCTTGAAATACAAAGATCTTTGATCTCTTCTAAAAGCAATGGCATTTTCAGTGTGTAACCGGTCCAATTCTTCTTGATTGTTCACCACAAAAATCTGGGGCATAGAAAAAGAGGTGGTTCATAACCCTCTCAAGAAGTGTTTCGGTTTGTCATCGAATCTAGCTTTGCAGGCTGAAATACGTATCTGCAAATATATAAATAATTGTGCATAAAAATGGTTTGGTTGTTTTCAGAAGCAGAATGGCATTGTAACCCCATGTTAGTCCATGCTCTGCCAGACTGGCCATGGACTGCCAGGCTGTAAGAGGTTGCTTTGCAATTGTAAGAGAAGAGATGAGTTTTCAAGAGATAATGGTCTTTCTTAAGGACCTAATTAAGGCTCCAATGACCCTATCTCAAAAACCACAGCCACAGGTAATGATCATGCAAATACCCGTGCATGATCATTGCTGTGGAAAAATTTCTGATGCTCAAATGTTTAGATACTGGAACAAATGCAAAATCCATACAGGCATAACTGCTCTTTGTGGGCTTGTCTATAATTTTTTAGGCATGCCCATGGCTACAAAATAAACAATGCATTGCTCAATGTAGCCTTCTCTTACCTTTTACTATTTTAAGTAGATCTAATTGGCATAGAAATGCATATTTCTTTACAAGCATACACTTCAGTCTAAAGCAAAGTTTTCAATTACACAGAAAAAAATAGTTCAAAACAGAGAGAATTAGAATGAGCTGCTCCCTATCCAAATTCTTTTAATGTCTCAGTCACTGAAATTGGTTGTAAGGGGCATTAGGAAGTAATTTCTTCTTTCAGCAATTTAATCAAATTAATTTTAGCAAGATTCAAACCATTTTTAAATTAAGAAAAAGCAAATGGAATGCTTCTGAGCAAAATGGATTTAGCAGTATACTGCCTGAGCCTGATTTCTGCCAGCACAAACAGAATTAGCTCTTTTTAAAACAAATTGCCCTGAAATTTTTACATAGCTGAATATTCCCAGAGCCCCCAACAAAGGCCAATATCATTAAAAAAGCATTGAATAAAAATGCCTTCAACTTGAATGAAAGAAAGCAAAGAAATAGAAAGCCAACAAAGAACTGATTCTGTAATTGCATTCAGTAGCTAAAGTCCCAGCCTCAGAGCTCTAATTTCTGTTGAAATCAATAGAAGATCTGTCTTCTCCGAAACTATAGATACTGGCCTTGGAAACTATAAAAGATTTAAAAAACAGAATGAAATATAATGACAGAAAAAGAGAGTTTTGTTTCCTAGGCTCTCCCCTCTTTTGGCAGCGCTAGGACTTTGCAAGCTGAGGAGCGAGTGGGTGGTTCCACTGGGGACCTGCTACGGTAGGAGCGAGCAGCTGAAACCGGGTGAATTCCCGTGTTCAGTGCTGGCTGCAATCCTGCTTTAGCAAGCGGGAACTCCAACACCTTGGGATGGGGCCACAGAGCACCTTCTCTGGGGCTTTTCCACGTGCAGCTCTAGCCACCCTGATAGCGGCCTCCAAGGGATGCCAGGCCAACTATGGCGCTGCTAAGTGGGGAGCTGAACGGGATAAACAGCAGTGTTAAGCTCGCCCTCTTGACACTTGAGGGAGTAAAACAAAGGGGACAGGCAAATGGGGAGTGTGGCTCAGCATGTGCTCACTTTCAGAGAAGATGAGGGCAGAAATTTGTGTGGCTTCCTCACCTGCCTCTTTGTCATCCCCTCATTCCTGACAACAGAAATTGCACTTGCTCGTCCTCAAATGAGAGATCACAGAGATAGCTCTGGGTTGCTTATATTTTAGGTGGTTACGCCTTTGCTACCTTCTTTAAAGATCTGGTATTAAACTATGACTAATGGGGAAGAAAGTACAGGGGGTAGTAAGACCTACACAGAATATCGCAAGCCTTACACTTTGTCCTAAGCGTTCTCCATGCCATGAAATATATGACAGGTTTTTGCAACAGTGTGCAGTGCAACGTGAGGTGCACCCTCGTTTCATGTGCTTTCTTCTGTCACCATTAAGACTGAGAAATAACTGGGCTTTTTGGAACGTAACACTCACAGGGATGAGCAACAAAGCTGACAAGATTTGCAGCACACGCACGCAAAACACTGACCCAGCTTAACGAACAGTGTTGTGAGTATGCACCCTTTCACGCACAACAGTGGCTTTCTGAAGAAGTGGCAGATGGGCAAGTTAACGAAGCTAGCTGCCGTGGATTGTCATTCAAAGACGGGACACCATGCAACACCACTCTTGTCTGTGTGGCAGGGCTATGCGTGCTTGTACACAGCGGTAGAAAGGTAGCATGTTCCTTGCCAGTTAAGCGCTACTGTGCACAGAATAATAAGGCAGGGCCCAGAAGCAGTATTTACAAAGCTCAAAGAAATAGGAGAGAAAAAAGTTCCACATCACTTGCCAGCAGTGACTTGTCCTTTAGAGTACTTTGTCCAATCTGCTGGTAAAAATACTTTCAAGAAGGTAAGATATACTGGGCTGTATAAAGTGCATGTCTACAGACAGGAGCTCAGAAGTCTGACTCCCACGGTTCGTGGAGACTCGATACTCAACTCTGAAATCACTGTGTTTGCAGACACAAAAAAATAGACGTTTCCTTCACCACCCAACCTGAAATACATTCTAATTGATGGAAATAATAAGAACAGAATGTGAATGTACAGCAAAGTTGAAGAAAGCATCCTCAGGTTCAAAAAGAAGTTTCTAAAAATGTGCCACACTACTTACTGGTTTGAGACAGCTGCATTTCAGCATCTCAGTCACACAGTCCTCAAAGCTAGACAGGAGATTCAATTCTTTTGCACTGACTGGATCTCAAAGGTTTTGGATAGTAGAGGTAACACATTGCCCACATACAGACATCTTTTTTAAACCCAAAGTATTAGCAAATAGAGCATCTCTTATTAAAAAACATATTTAAGAACAGTTGTCATTCTCTCTTAGAAAATCTGCTTACCGCAGGGACTTTTGGATAACTGTATCCAAACACAGATTCCTCATATGGTGGACTATTCACATTTTGTGGGGATCTGCAGAGACATCTCCCTGGAGGCCCTGGAAGTCCTCTTTCCCCTTTTGGTCCTACTGCTAATTGTCCTAGGAAGCAAAATACCAGGTCGCCACGTGATGAGGTTACCATACAAAACACAAACACATCTTTTTCTCAGTGGAAAAAGTACTGATCAGGTGGATATGCACTTATACAAGTTTTCAGAAATGCTCATCTCCCCGCTAATCCACTGATCGCTGAGGGAACTCATTACCAGAACCACCAATTCTAGCACTTTAGCAGAAAAACTAGAGCTTGCATCACATTCATTTGCTTTCAGATCACTTAAAATTTTTTCTACTAACTTTATAGAGAAAGAGGTTGGCTATTTGCTTAGGATTTCCAGATAAGCGTCAATTCGGTTGAAGCTACAGAATTTTAGGCCATGATGCACACATAAATTACTCTACAGCATCTAAGCAGTGAGTATAGCGTAAGTGTTAGATAGAGTCAATCTCTGTATTGCATCTGTGTTGGACTTGTGGATATATACAGTCAATTGAGCGCTGCTGTCTCAGAGAGTTCTGTACAGGAAATCCTAGCTAGAAGTACAGGAATGCTATGGATAGATAAAAATAAATTAAAAAAAAAAGAACTATGGCTTTTTGACTTTCAAACACTGTCAAGGATGCAGTACTCTGTAGAATCAGAATTATGAGCCGTCATGTTAATACTGCAAGCAGTGACATCATTACAGCAAGGCCATTTAGAATAAGAATTTATGCGTTAGAGCAAAGAGATTGACAAGCCTGATATACATGAACTTTCTGGGGGTGGAATAAAGCCTTTAAAAAGTAATCTCAGGATCTGGCTGTCTTCCTATCAGCATGGTGAAAATTCAACCCTTTGAAACTTTCCAGATAATTTACTGAGGATAAAGAAGTTTCATAATGAGAGACATGAGCTATATGAAGAGTAATTGTGAAGGTCACCAGGTCCACAGATGTACCATGTCCACACTACTAGAAAGAAGAGACCTCCTGCCCACTGGTGTAAGCAAGGGAAGAAAAAGGGAAAGAAAAATGAAAAAACTCTGAACAGATCAGCTGCAGTACAAATAGTTGGTGTCTATTTGAGACAAAAATAGTTCCCAATGGTCCTTGCTTTTGTTTCTTCTCAAGATTCTTGTTACACTTCAGGAGATAGCCAGTTTGGAAAAGTCCTTCCTGAGGCACAGTCACAGACTATTACAGGTCGCATATCACCTTTCATGTTTACACTCAGCTTCCCAAGAGAAAGCAAGCTGCCCAGAGTTCATGTGCATGCATAGTTTTGAAGCTGCACGGTTATCAGTTACAAGGTTTTCTCATGATTTCTGCAACCGATGCAATTGCAAAGAGCAGAGATATCTACAAAACCTTGCAAAAGGAGAGAATTTTTTCGCTCCCCGTTTCCTCCCTAACTCCTATCACTTTCCTTCTCTTTCCTGTTTCCCCTGTTGTCATTGGGTCTTGAGTCTCATCTGTTTTTGTTTTTTTTTACACAGCTGTGCAGGGTCAGTACGTCCTGGCTGATTAGAAATAGTAGTCTGTCATTGTAAGCCAGCATATCTGGAGAAGCAACAGACCTTTGATGATAAAGATTAACTAGTCCCTCCAAGGCTGCCAGATAGATTTTCATCATCCTCATCCAATACAGTCCCACAGAAACCACATGTTTCAGTTTTAATTTGAAACATCAAAAGCCATTATGAAGACTTCGAAGTAAGGTGTAGAGCCCTTGTAATGGCCAAGGTTGGAATAACCTGACTTTTGGAAAAATCTCCTCACTGTAAGTGGAGAAGCAAACAAAGCCCTGCAGCATTTTCTGCAAGGATGCCTGTATAGGCAAATGCGACCAGCCAGGACAGGTTGGTGAGGAGGGATAGTGTCTAAAATCACCTGATGCCCTGCTTACCTGATCCTGAAGGCCCAGGGGGGCCTGGCTGGCCTGAAGGACCGGGCCTTCCAGGTGGACCCATAATTCCCACAGGTCCAATGTCTCCCTTTTGTCCCTAGAAGAGAGGAGATACCCATTTGTTTGTTAAACTATTAATAACGCACAACCTCTCCCCCCGTCTCCAACCAGTACTGGCTTCCCTTTCAAGAAAGCAGAGACATTTGCCGACAGGAGCGAGCACACAGCGTGGACTCCATAGCCATCACCCCAGGGAGTGTGCTGTCCTCTTCCACGTGGAGATAGAAAGGTGTGTTCAAGCAGGGCTCTTGCTCCCAAAAAAGTGAATGGTACTAGCAGTTCTGTACTGGGTGGAGTCAGGAACCACCTTGCTCTGACTTCGGTCATTCAGTGGCCTTTTTTTAAAGATGCCTTTTCATCCCTGGTAGTTATCTAGGAGGCAGTGCAGCTCAGATAGGAAGGGTTGGTGGAATTGAAATAGTGGACCCTGAAAATCCTTAGCTGCTCTGTTAATGCACAACACGGAAAGAAAGCAGCTCTGACTTCTGCAGCTTAGATTGACTTTGCAGGGCTGATATAAAGAAATTAATTCATTTTATCTCTAAAAAGAGCAAAGCCAATACAGAGTGAGCAAGGGTGACGTTTCCCAGGCCCAGGATGCAGTTTCTCAGAAGCATCTAATGTTTCTGAACCTAATGCTTTGAGGTACACACTTTTTTTTCAAAAGTACTTTAGGTGCCTAGACTCCTGTACTCCTTGACTTTCCCCTCAGATACAGCTATGTTAACAAGTCATTGCAAGGTGAGCTAGGGCTTGGCTTTATAAAGCGTAAGCTAGTGTGTAATAACTATCCCTGCTGCATGCTGATGAATGATGTCCCTCTGGTCACTCAGTCAAAATTACCTATGGGAAAGGAGCTTACACACCGTTACCATGCCATGGTAATACTCTTCTAAATCAGCTCCCTGATTGGCTTTATGGGAGCTTGTTTGTGCAGCCATCCCCCTAGGCATTTGAAAGTTTTATCTTGGAACTGCTCAACACCTTCCTGTTTTTGCTCCCTAACTTAATATGATGACACTTATTAAAATTACTATATTTATTTTCCTGTTCTTATATTGTTTGAGACTTGGATTTCTCAGCTTTACAAAACTGATTTAGATTTCAGAAGTGTATTATACAGCTTAAAGTTTAAATATCTAATTTGATTTCTATGTAACAACATACTTTTTTTAGTATAACAGAAGTGATTTGTGCTATGTTAGCTTTCCTTTAATGCCGAAGGAGATGAATTCCTTGAGGATGGTGTAAGTCCAGGTTAATGTGCATTCACATGTGAATGATGGGCTGTTTCAGATCTAATTTCAGAGTAACGAAGCATACATAGTAATACATACTAAAATAATTTGATGTTACACAATATGTTGTATCCCATAAATACATTTGAATGTCACTTGCACCATTTAACAGAGGAAGGTTATTTTTGCCATGGCCCATAAAGAACTAATTGAATATTTGCTTTGTTTAATCCTATTAGATTAGCTCTGTGCCATCAAAACACTCCAGGATTTATGTGAATGTCCACGATGCTAATCACTAATTGCTTCTTACAATATGCAACGTGAGTACACAGAACTGGTAGAGCAAGGTTTGGTAGCCCCTGGAGCAGCTTGTGGGAAATCTCTTTCCCCATAGAAGAAAGACCTGGCAGAGGAAATCCAATGCCAGGCAGACACATACTACCTGAAAGCTACCCGACTTCTGTCTCTCCTGCTTTGGAGGAATGATTGCTTAGTGCTCTCTTGCTTAGCGCAGACGGATTAAACAATGACAGAGGTGTCTATTAAATATCTTTGCCTTGTTTCTTTTCACATGCACTTGTTGCATTCAGAAATGCTTTTCCCACAGGCAATATTTATGTTCCTTTGCCTTTTTTTCCAAGTAACATCACATATAGCCCTAAGCCATTCCTCCTTGTCAACACTGAAATCCTAAACTCGCCCCTTAGCATCAATTCCTTGGGGCGCTTTATCTCTGTGTGAGGGCTCTGAGGCTGCGAACGGCAAATCCCACCTCCTGGCCACCTTTTAGGCAGAGCCTGCCCCAGAGGCAGAGCGGAGCTGAAGAAGTCAATGGGATAATCAAGATGTATCTCAAAATGGAAGTGGAAGTAACACCGTCTCAATTTAGCTGCTTTTATCTAGGGCTGTCAGCTGGATCAAGAGGCAGGAAATGGCTCCCCGTGTTGATGGAAACTATCGTCTCAGTTGAACAAGCAACCTTAGAAGTGCAGCACCTCAGTGTGACAACCAGATTGGCAGAGCTTTCAAATGCAATTTTCAAAGGATTAAAAAAGAAAAAAAAAATAGCTGGTTGACCCATTACAGAAAGAGAAACCCAGTTTTCAAACAGAAATCATGCTGAAATCGATTTCAGAACACCAGAAAGCGGTTTGTGTACTGAGGTGTGAGCTTGGAAATCCTGATTTAGGGCCAGACCATAGTTCCTTTGTCACACTGATCTTTGCCTTAAACTACGAGGTATCTTACGTGACCACTTTTTGATTAAGATACTGTGTAGCGTGACAAACTCCTAAGACAAAATATGAAGTCCTTTCAGAAGAGAAGGGATAATGCATGTGCTGTGTTGGAGCTGATCTGTAGGCACTGTGTCTTCTCCATCCCTTATGCTACAGAAAGAGAATCTGTGCACATGCCTTTTGGCAGGTCAGGTGCACGCTGCTGGCAAAAAACGTCAGGGAGTACACATCAGCTTTTAAACTTGCTAATTCAAGAACAAAAAATATTTTCACTGGGTCACCTAGCAGACTTATAATATACATATCTTCTTTATATTTGGTGATCTGTTATTGGTTCCCTAACACCTGATTTTTAATTCCTCCCCATGCTGGGTGTTCTGTCGCTTCAGATGCCAGCGGCAAATCAGAGCAACAGTGAAGCAGGTGGGTGCCTCCCTTTGCAATACTAGATGTAACCAGATTGCAGCTAAGGTGCTTTCAACGGTGCCTATTAACCACTGCATCTACAGGCTCTCTGGTATCAGGGAGAACGTACAGCAAAACTAGCATCAGTGTAGCCAGAGCAGGCTCTTTCACTGATAGTCAGTGGAAAGACATGGGCTTCTAAGGTGGCAGTTCAGAGCCTCAAAAGGACTGACCTCCTTAGCATCAGGCTGGATTTTGTGACTGCTTCCCCTGCCGCTTCCCCCAATACCATTGCTTAAAATAAATACGCAAGGAAAGATGCAATGGAAGAGGCATGTTTGGTCACTTGAGTTGGTAACTACACTAATCTTGCTGCCTCCTTGGAAAACGCTATGTTGGAGGGGTCAGTACACACAGTTACACACAGTTCCCAGTCTTTACAGTTCATCCGAAATTCTGAAAAGTCAGTTCTGCAAGCATAAATATTTTGAACGCTAAATAAGAACCATTTGTCATCGTGCCACTCCACAGCAGATTCCGCACAAGATTACTGTTCCTTCAGGTCATTATGTGTTTGTCCTGACCTTTCTCAGTGAAGATGAATCTGTCCCTGGCACGCGGTAGGATGGTGAGAAGTGTCATATAAATAAGCCAGACTGACAAATCAATCTTGTTCCAGTCTTAATGGAAGGAAAGGAAAAAACAGAGAGCATGTTTCAGTACTTTGATTCTTTGCACTATGTTTCAGCCATCTGCAAGGCCTTGCAGCTCTGCAGTCTGATCTGTATTAACCAACTCTAGGGCCCGGGCAAAACCTGACTGAACCAAATTGGATGATGTGGACAGAAAGTGCTCTCTGCTTGGGCCCAGCTGTGGGGTCACTACCTAAAAAGACACTGGATGAACACTTACTGCATATGATAGAAATAAGGAACGTATTAAAGGACCAAGGCTTGGAAGTATAGGCCAGTGACTGTCATTGCTGCAGATCACATATTAGCTTGATCCATTGCAGGATACCATTTTTAGTGTAGAGGATGCTATTGCTGATGCACACAAGCAATGTCTTTCTTAATATAAATAGTATAGTTCTCCGTAGTGGTGAGGCAGGGAGAAAATTCAGGGACAGCTGGGGACACAGGCAATGACATGTCCCTTGCAAGAGGCCAACTCTGCCTACCTGCCTGAAGCTGTGGTGAGGGGATTGTTTTTTGTAGCATGCACAGATAGGGATCACAGCGTGCAGGAATATAGGTAAAAGCTGCAGAGTGTGAGGGACGAGTGGAAGTATCCTTCCGCTCGTCCCTCCTGATTTCCCTCCAAAAACCACCTGAATTCCCTCCCTCATCCAGAGCCCCAGAAATCCAGTGATTCCTTAGAAAGCTTCATTCTTTCACCTCAGGAACCTATTTCCAGTGGGGGCTGAGGATGTCACTGGGCAGGCTGAAAAGCAGTGAATCTTGGATAGCCCTCATGTTGCCAGTGCAGCCTGTGGATGTGAGCCGCCCTGCTCCTTAAGTCAGCCGCAGAGCCAGGGATGTGCAGCACATATGGCATCGCGGCCGTTCCCTGCACCCCGAGTTGTGCCCCGCGCTGTCTGAGAGCTGCACCTCACGCTGACTCTGGCGTCATCACAGACCTGCTTGTTGGAGTTACCGGCTGGGAATGGCAGCGTAACTCGCTGTTGCCTAGGATTCAAAGCGGGATCCAAAGTCTGCTCAAGTTAGAGTCCACCGGTTAGTTACCAGCCCAGGGAAAATGCTACTGTCCCCGTGATGTGTGGCCAGGGATTTGAATGCTGCAGGCAAGGCTCCAGCCCTAAAGGTTAGGCTTTAACCCCTACGCAGTCTGAGCATACACATGAAGGTTACAACGCTTCTGTCTGCTCCTCGCGTGACAAAATACAGGAAACCGCTACAGAACAGAGAGCACACATGTATGCCACAACTACACAAATCAAGGGAAGAAAAAACACCGAGGTCCTACCTGTTTGCCTCGTTTTCCTGGTCTTCCTATAGGTCCTCTGTGTCCTGGTGCTCCGGATTGCCCCTTCGGGCCCATCTCGCCCTTTGTGGGTGTGCAGGAAAGGAAGCAGGACGTAAGTACAGAAATGCGCATTACCTCGGTTATATGTGCCTTATACAGCAGACTATATAGCAGATGGACTGTGCTTTAATTTGTATGATTCCTCTAGATCATGTTGGCACTGCTTTTTTCTGAGAAATTCCCAATTATAATAAAATATTTTAAAACAAAAGCAAAGCCAAAAATATCTCTTACTGTTTACCCAAATTTCCCTGAAAATCATTTCTCTAAAGAGGAGGATAAACGGAAAGATTAGACGCATGCTTGAAGACTTGAGCTTATTGAGAGAAGTTGGCTAGCAAAACTGTCTGATCCTTTTGGCAACAGTTTGTTTTGCTGGTAAGATTTCTATAATAAAATATCCACCAAGAGGAAAGGTGGGTAATTCACTGATCTCCTATCCTCCTTAGAAGTAACCATTATTTCCTTAGCCTAATTTCAGAGATAGGATGTGATTACGTCATAAAATAATCCTCCTTTGAGAATTCTATCCACAAAACAAGATAGAAATCTGAATTATGATTGGCTTACTAGTACAGAATAATGATGAAATCTAAACTGGTCAGGATTTCCACTGCTATTTACAGTAGTGCCATTTTCATTCAGAACATCCTGAAGGAAATGTTTATCAGCTTCATGTATAGAAAGCCAGAAAAATTAGGCCAGTCACAAATCTATACTGAAGACACTGAATATGTTAAATGGGAAAAAGATTATGTCCAAACCAGTGTTCTGGAAAAGAGAGAAACAACAACAACAAACTGAGCTAAATCTCTTTTTTTTTTTCCTAAGATAAAAAGTCTGACGGTCTTGGACAAGTCCGCAGCAAGCCCTCAATGGTTTATGCTTTCTAACTGCAGTCAAAGACATTGCTGAAGCCATTTGTTGACCCTATGCCAGCACCCAGCACGATTCCCCAGCACATCCTGTGCACTCACTTACTTTCTGTCCCAGCATTCCAGGGGAACCTATTTCTCCCTAGAAAGAAAAAGGAAAAAAAAATCATTAAAACTTGTGGAATGATCTTTGACAAAGATTGGCAGCACCAGTTTAGGCTTTTAAGGAAGAAACAGTGTGTGGGTGTTACAAGGGAATTTTACTGCAAAGCCCCTGTCTGGAAAGCTCAAGGGAATTTTACTGCAAAGCTCATCTGTCTGGTGCTCTGCCATCTGCTTCCTCTCCTTTGGGGATGGCACACCACTTGTGCCTTTGCCCACGGGTAAGCCCGTCATCTGGACAACTCCCAGAGCCTTTCTTCAGGAACGGCATTTCTTCATTTATGTCAAAAGGGATTTTACTTTCCCTTTTTGAGTTAAAAGAACCCCTACGACGCAGATCTCACTTTTTTTTCTCACAGCAGTATAACGTCACCAGGTAGAAACATCTTGCAAAGCTTTCATGGGTCTGGACTGCACAGGTTTAGGTTGCCTACAGGGCATCGCCAGCCCCTGCGGACCTGGGACTGGGGCTGGAAGGCGCAGGGGCACGGAGGCTGCCCAAGTGACATGGGGCCTCCTCTCCCGTGCCACCCTGGCCCTCCCAGGGACATGCCTCCAGGCTCCCTTTTGATCTCAGAAATACCTCAAGTGTTCATTCAGCTTAAGCTCAGAGCCATCTTGAAAAAAAAGAAAATAAGTACCTGGTCTCCTTTGACTCCTTTGTCACCCCTGTCACCTCTGGAGCCCTGGGGAGAGATAGCAGGGCGATAAAGGCTCAGTTACTACATTCCACATGGGAGTAAAAAATGTTTCTCCTATAGGAGGCACTATTTGGAGCCATGCAGCATATTGGAATATCTTCAGAGTGTGCTATAGGGTAGATGCCCTAAAATGTTGGCATTGAATTACTTTCATTGACACTGTAACAGAATTAAGAATAAGGCTGGTAGAAGAAGGTACATATTCTCCCTGGACAATTACTTTAAATATGTGCTTTCCTGGGCACGATACTTCCAAACTTGATTTTTTTTTTTCCATTTGGCCTCATCCAAGTTCGGTCCCACTGTATGGCCTTACGGTAAAAACTATCCCTGTGCCAAAGAATATACAGCCTAAATAAACCAGATCAATAATTAAGGATCATTATGCCCATTTTACAGAGAGCGAAACTGTAGTGAGGTGCACTGGAGTAAATTGTTCACAGTAAGAGGGGATGTAAGACCTGCTCCCTTAGCATCCCAACACAAGCCTCGAGATTGCTCTCCTTCTCCGTACTTACTTTCATTTTTTAATGGGACCTTTAGACTCCCTCCATCAAAATTATCTTATTTCTAGAATTAATTTGTTCACGTAATTGTTTGCAATTCATAAATTATACATAATTCTATTGTTGTCATACTGACCTTTTGTCCTCTAGTTCCAGGAAAACCCTAAAGGGAATGATAAATATTTTAATGCTTCTCATTTTCAGAATTACCCAAGAAGCAAGTTCATTTCTTGCAGACTTAAAAATGAAGAAAAAGAGTGAAACACAAATAATTAATTTCATCAACTTCGAAATGCGAATGAATGTTTATAGCTTCTAAGAGTGCACTGAAACAGAACTACAAAATATGAATTAAAGGCAAGACAACTCAGCCAATAAGCCAACATGAAAAAGCCCACTAAAGCCGACAGGTTTGCGTTTAAATTCAAAACCAGGAAAATAAAATTGTAATTGAAAGTGAAAGCCTTACTCTCCACAATTAATAATGTAAAATTATTTTAGCAATAATTTTCCTCTTCTTTTTTTCCCCTGTGGAAGATATGCTTAAAATACATTTAAGTCAGCTTCTAATGTGAAGATTACAGTGAAATTTCTCTTTAGGAAACATACACCAAACATCTCTATTCATTTCTTCTTTCCAGTGCTTTATTTGAATAAAGCAATTACACAATTTTTTGCAAGTTCTGTAAAATATTGCGATCTAAATTGGTAAATGCAGAAGCTGTTCTCTAGATTAATGCAGATAGATAGCAGGACATCCAGACCAAACTGTGCTTACTATCATCCGAACTATCAATACAGAGGCATAGTTTTAACAGAGGACGAAAATGATGTCCACAGTCTTATGAGGTAGGTGAAAAACATTGCAGTCTTGAGTTAATGTTGCAGATACAATTAAGAGCTCCAGTTTCTAGTGAGATACAATTGTATATAATCTTTGCTTTTTTAAATAATTTGTGCATTATAATATTTTACACTAAAGCATTTTCATGAAAAGATAAGAACACAGCCAAGCCGGAACAGACAACATAACCTTGCTTGAAGGAGAGCATATGCTTTTAGCTGTACTAAAAAAGATGCATCTTGATAAATGCTTTCTAGCAAATTCATGAGGGAAGCAGCTGTCAGCAGAGCATTAGAAACAGATGTCTGAAAATGCAGCATTTGTGTAACAAACCTTGGAGCCCATTGGTCCTCTTGTACCTGGCAATCCCATCACACCCAAATCTCCCTTTTCACCCTAAAGGGGTCAATAAAGAGAGTTATTGATTGTGGCTCTCCAATGAAGTCATATTTGAATGTTTGATAGTTTAATGGTTTTGTGTTGAGTACATGAGACAAGCCTGACCTTTACAGTGCTCGGTGCAGCACTATAGCAGAAGTCTGTATTGCAATTGTATTCTGCCCAAGCCCTCTGATACTGTCTTTTTCTTCTACTTGCATTTTCTTGGGTGTGTAACCTGTGCTTGAGTTTTGCCAGATGCTATTAAAGGACATATAAGCAAATTAGCAGCAGCAGTACAGATTTTTCTGTTTGAAGGTGCATAGCCTCTACCTCTCATATCTACATCATTTCCACTGAGTTACAGAGAAGAAACGTATTTTGCTGCAAGCCTTACGGCATAGAGGGACATACTTTTACATTAGATCTGAGGGGGTTACTTTTATATTAGATTTGAGACATCATATGCTTTACAGTGGCTTGGAGCCAGCAAAACACCAAGAGGCTTTGCAGTGAATTCTCTGGCTGCTGTCAGATAATAATCTAGGGTGAAATACGGAGTAGTCCCTGCAGAAATGCAGTAGCCTTATCCAGCAGAATATGGCTGGCTCTCTTTCTCCTTTGGTTTTCACTGTCCTAGTGGTGAAGAGGATTTTCAATTTGGCACAAGTTGAGAGAAGAAGACTTGAAGAAACAAAGTAAGCGAGATGGGAGCTGGACCGAGGCTGTTTCTGAGGAAGAGCAGACAAGTAAGGAGAACCAGATGAAGAAATATAAGTTATGGAGATGGGAATGAGAAGCAAAAACAACTCACTGGAGATTTACAGCACGCAGATGTAAAGAACGGGTGTAGTGAAGATGGATATCGTGAGTTTGGGAAGATCAGAGATCAGAGGAAGAGAAAGGAAAGAAGGACACAACCTAGGGAAACAAACACAGCCATCTGCTAGCTTCCATCCAGCTAGAGTCTTCACTGACAGGTAGGAAAAAAACATATATAAAGACCAGAAGAAATGAAAGTAGGAACTCCTCTAAAGAACAGAGGAGTCGCAGATCAGAGGAGATGATAAAAGGAGAAGAATAGGAATTAAATAGCAAGTTGGACTTGCAGTTAAAACGTAGGGAAGAGTATTACTACTGAGTGTGAGGAATGTTCCAAGGAGCATAATGAAAAAACATAACAAAAGATGAAGAGGAGAAAAAATAGTACGGAATTGGGGAGACTTCATAAATAAAAGTAGGCTTTATGTAAGGAAAAGGCAAAGCGAACCAGTCTTCTGATGGCTCTGCTCATAGTACTCGGACCATGAGGGAACAAGGTCGGGAGGCCTTCCTTCTGCTCTCACGGCTGCCGCGGTGGGAAACTGCAGCACATGATGCTTTTGGGGGTACACCGATTCCCGTCTCCTGGGTTAAAGTGAACACTGGCTCCTTTTCAGTACAGGGACTCCTATTGCTTGCCTACATTCCCACACACTACAATATAGTGTTCTTCATCTAACATAGCTGTAATGAGATTAAGGGCCTGCTTTCCAGGAGTAGTCTGAATTCAGAAGTAATCCACTATTATTCTCTAGTAAGAGCTATTGCATCATGCCCTCTAAGATGGTGCCACAACTGTCATGGAGGAAATGAAGAGTCGCAAATGTGCTGAAAAATGCAGTTTCCAAAGTCAACTTCATATGTAGTCCTTTTGCCTGACCACATACTGGATTGAAGATAAGCAGCTATCTCAAATGTCCCAGGAGAAAATTCATATACCTTAGCTCCTGTGAAGAACTGTATACCTTTTGCATACGATAATATTCTGTAAAGGACTGTCCTGTAACTTCTTTCTAATAAAGGCAGACGAAGCAACCACTCTGCTATAGTAAAGCATGTCCTGCCATTTCTTCCGCTGTTGACTATGAAAAGCCACTGAAATGAATGCTTGCTCCTATGGTATTGATGCCAAGCCTCCAGCAGCAGCAATGGCAAGGTGTAAGGAGAGTATTATATGCAAAACTTTGACAGGGACAATTGGACATGTCTGTGGAACGGTGCTTAAAAGATCTGACCAGCATTCAAATGGTCTTAATTCCCTTTCCATGACGTATTTTTACCTATGATCACGTGGACACACACAGTTACACTGCCAAGAGGCACACATTCAGGCAAAGACATAATCATAAGGAGTAGTGATAAACCCAACAACCGGTTTGGAAAGACTAATTCTTGTGATTATGAAAGACACCTGTTGTTATCAATGATTCTTCATGAGACTTGATTTTCATTTTTCCTTTGACGTGTTTTAATCAAAATAAGAACAGCTAGTGGAGTTAGGCTGAAGGTGCAGCATCCTAACCTAGATTGGCCAGATCTTTGCAGAGGAATATAAGAAACAGGACAAGTGCAGAGTGTCCTTGTGCTGTTACAGCTTCCCAGCAGAGAGCGGGTTAGAAACTTCACGAGTCAAGTGTTGTGTTTGTGTTAAGATCATGACGTTTATTAGATTATCTGCTGGGAATCTGCCTAATCCTTTGTGGGCCCTGAAAGAAAAGCGTACCCACACTTTGGGGGTAATGAAAGTGTTTTAGTCTTACCTTGGGTCCCACTGGTCCAGGCCATCCAATTGGTCCTGGCATTCCAGGGACGCCCGGGGGACCTGGTCTACCCTTGAATGGAAAAGGCCAGTTATTACAACAACTCATTTAATGTCATTCCAACACGCAGGCCTCCACTGCTGACAGACGATACGGAGGAATACAGTTTCTTCACAAAAAGAGCCGCAAATTCTTCTTTACTTTTTTTAGTACAAGAAGTACTTACTACATTCTATTCATAATAAAGTTTGTATTGATGATAATGGAGGAAAGAGGGGCTCCCAGAAATACTAAGCAATAGTGATTCAAATAAATAGATGACCTGCAGCGGAAATCTACCTGCAGTCAAAATAATCACCCTAAAAGCCCAGGATCAATAACTTAAATCCTCCTCTCGTTTAATACAATGTAAATCAAAAAGACCTCCATTTAATTCTGTTAGCATGAATCCACTTTACGCTAAGAGCAGAATCAAATCTTTAACTAAGCTATTCTTATTTTTTATTATTCTGAGTATTCTTATATTACTAGTTATAGTAAGTACACTAGTATAGTATACCTCTTTATCAACTACTTAATTATATAACTAGCAATAACTACATATATATATAGTTATTTATTTATTTTAGCTACTGCTTGTAAATCACTCTTTGACTAGATCCTAAACTGGTGCAGATTAAGGTACCACACTGCTTTATAACACTTGACAATATGGCTCTAGAAATCTGATCATGATATTTGGAGCTAAGAGTGACTTCGCAGAAGCCACACAGCTTTTAGCAGGAATTATACTGCTTTATTCCCAGTCAATATCTGGACAACTTTTCTTTTGGGACCTACCAGTTTTTGTTAGAAGAGTAAGTAAATACCCCACTGTTGAAGATTTGCATGCTCTTGTACGTTGAGGAGTGGCTGAGACATTACTGTTTTGAACACTTGACTTTATACAGGGAATGCTTTTTTTTACTGTAGGATATTTGCAATTTAGATTAAAGAATTATACCTCTTGTGTTTGTACGTTTCATATTACTTTGAATTACCGATTTGTATCTGATGTTAAAATCTTTTCTATATTAATAGAACAGTACTTCTTTTCCCAGTTAGTGACCTAACCTCTGCATATCTCTGATTTCATCTTACACTTCTGGCTTCTTTTAAAATTAATTACATTAAATGGAAGCACTTAGCCGCTGGGATAACATATTCTGTTTCATCACACGTAGGGGCACATATTTTTGACAATACATCATGGCTCATATGTCACCCAGCACAGGACTGCAGTCAGCATATTGTGTCAGTGCCAGAACTCTGTAAATGTAATCATTAATGATTATTCCTCCTTCTGGGCTAGTCAGCTGAACCTTGTTTTGACTTTGGAGCCGTAAAAAATTTGATTTTGCTTTGGGTTTTTTTAATACAGCTTTTATAATAGCTCCCATATTCTGCTTCCCCTCTCCACAAAGTTATAGCTCAGGTTATTTCCTGCTCTCTTTTAGTTGCCTGCTTGGAGCTATACGTTCTTACTGAGGAAATTTATCAAATTCAGAGCACCCGCAATGGCTCTGCAATGCACAGGGCCTACTAGCTCTGCAGCCCTGGGCCCCGAGCTCCCTTCCTCGCATCTCCGGTATCAGCAGAAGCAGCACAAGCAGGTTAAACTTTAACATTAGCTAATTTTTATTCAATTGTTTTCTGAGTTACAGCTGCTATTCATTAGACTGGTGTCTGAGACAGCACCTTATGTCATACCTTTCTTCCTGGCCTGCCAATCTCCCCCTGTCAGAGAAAGGAATATGTTAGTCCCATAGACATCACACGAAGCATAGTGGCTTGTTAGTGACTTAGGCATTTATAAGCAAAATTGGGAATATCTCTGTGTCCAAGAGTTTGCTTCCAAAGGCAAAAAGAGAAGAGCTGGTTTCATAGAGCGCCTGAATCTTTCCTGCACTCTTAGTTCTAAATCTACACTTCCTCATATAGCAAAGCATTGAATTACGTGCCCAACTTCAGGTATAAAGCTGTTTAAGCCTCATCACGGAGTAAATGCTTTGCAGTTCTCAAGCCATAACTAAGCATACAGACTGCTTTTCGTAGCTAACCTGACCCATACAACACGCGCTGCCTGGGCAAGCTCTGCTCCCCATGTCTTCCTAGCAGACAGGGTTTCCAGGGGCTGTTGCACCAGTATGATCACTCACTCGTCCTTCTGAGCTGCCTCCTTAATGCCCTCTGCAGACGCAGGTAATTATCATGAAAAGCCAGAAAAAATATTTCAAGCTTGAAAACGAACAGTGGGAGAAAAAGCTCTAAATTATAGCCTCAAATTGATCCACAGCTTCCAATTCAAATTTAAGCAAATCCTCACATGTCCTTAAGGCCTGCCATTGACTAAACAGAGGAGAAAAAAACAGAACGCAATCCCTCCTCCTCTTTCCTTGTCCCCTCAAAAGCATACCAAACTCCTTAACAAGAGGTACTTACTTTCTCCCCTTTTGGTCCCATTATGCCAGGAATTCCTTGTGGACCCTAGGGAGAAAAGTGAACGTTGTTATCAAATTATATTGGGAAGAAGTCGCAGGCTGTCACCCTCCTCTGGCCCATGGCCCTGGATGTGTCTCTTGGGACCGGTGTGAATGCATGAGGTTGGGATGCCTGAACACGGTGTTTCTGTGCTGCCTCTAAATGCTACAGCTGTGTCACTGCTGATGGCAGGCTGCAGAGTTGTACTGACACAAAAAGTCATTTTCTAGACAAAGAAAACTAGCAAGAGAAAGCGCTGAGAGCAAATGGAAGTGGAGAAGTTATTGGAAACCTGACGAATTAGTGACCAGAGGGACACGGAGACACAGTGTCAGCTGGCAAAGGAGCCAAAGATCAATTCAGCTGAAGGGAGGATAAGGGGCATGGCGTAAAAGGCACAGGATGTCATGCAATGTACTATAGTCATGGAGAACTGTCATTGCTCCTGAATCTTTTGCCAGCATAAAAAACCCCGAAATAAATGTACTGGCATCCTGAATGAGACTTGGCAGTCCTTTTCTTCCTGGGGTTTCCTGTCTTTGTCCCCACTTCCTTCCCACTTGGTTATAACACCTCCTCCACACAACATCCCGGGCAGAAGAAAGTGGCTGTGACGGCTAGGGACTGGTCATCCCTCGTCTATAACATTCTGTAGCCATTTGAAGACCTTCTCCGTACCATGGACTTTTTTGCAGAAAAAAATGGGATCGAAAAGGCAAAATTCACCTCTGAATATTACTTTGAAAATTCTTTTTCCAAATCACATTTCATTTGCCTTTTCCTAAAATTAGCAAAACACTCCCAACATTTCTTGCTTTGTGCATTTTTCTACATTTATGGAATGACATTTTCCACAGAGTAATAGATGTGAAACTGAAATACTGTTCTCCGAAAAACAATTATCATCACTGCTGCCGTTTAAGTATTCTGAAAACAAAGCTAAAACAATTTTCAATAATTTCGTCTCCTCCTCATGTTTAGACAAATTCCAGACTGCTAGATGGTTAGCTAAAGCCCAAAGTTAGCCTTAAGCCTGATTTTCTCTGGAGTCAGTATTATTCTCCTGCTGTTTGATGTCTGGCCCAAACAGAAGTTGTTCAGAGGAATTTGAAAACACCTCGTTTCTGTGGATGAAAAAATATGAATCTGCACCTCCTAGGTAGCACAGATTCTGCCTTTCAAAAATAACAAACTACAAATTTTATGAAACTCTTTCCTCACTTTCCTGAAATTATAACAGAACTAATGTGACTTTGTGAAGTTGGACGTAAATAATAGACAAGGATGACATAAGTTAGAAGCCATGGCTAAAATAGATTAAGAAAATCACCTTTGCAGTGGTGATTGATTAAGCCTCACAAGCCTCTTTAAGCCCAAAACCATTAAGATATTTCTCTCTCTCAAATGAAACCGACTTTCCTTTCAGGAGACTTCTTAAGCCAGGGAGACCTTGAATCCCAGCTCAGAAAAAATCGGAAAGAGTTTTGTTTTTAGAGTGCTTCAGTTCACAGACTTTTTTTCTTTTTTTTAATGTCTAAGGGGAATTCCCTGAGCCTGCATAAGAGGAGCATTAACCCCATCATACAAATTCTTCCAGTTTTGGATCTTGGCTGTCTTATAGTGTCCAAACATGATGTAAATTTTACATAAATAGGAGCAAATTGTACCCTCAATTGCAAATTACTTCCTTATTTTAGTCAGTAGAGTTATTTCAGATTTTCAGTAGTGTCAATCAGAATGTATCCCATTAGAGTCAGAGCCAGATTTTACCTTATTTCTTTCATTTTACCTTAGGTTACATATGGGAGGAATTATACTAGGTTACATATGGGAGGAATTATACTCTTGAGTTATAGCATTGCAAATGTAACTCTCCTCCTTATGAAAAAGTGTTAAAACTCAGCTCTGACTCAACAGTGTGCGTTTTGTTCACCCCATATAAAAGTTGTGCTAGTTATAGAAGAAAATAACTCAGCAGTACTTCTTAAATTTTTTTTAGCAGTAGTAACAGCGCTTTTTTTCACGTGACCATCATCATAAAAGTACTACCCAGAGGACTGCTGGATTTAACTTTGTCCCCTTATAAAACACATTCCCACAGTTTATAATTAAAAATTCCGAAGCCACGTGTACTAGTCTTACTGTCTGTGATGGTGATAAAATCTGTCAGCCCACTGTATATAATATGTTCTTGGAGGGATCACAGATCATTTGGCTACAAGATTAATATTTATAACAAAGGATGTTACAGAACAGTACAATGAATATTACTGTTTTTTTCAGTTTAGGTCGGGGATAATATTAGTATTTTTTTAAAAGGCAATCCAGTGAAGACTGAAATAACTACTGCTTCTTTCATACTTATTGCAACTCTGGATCGTTGCCAGCCACACTGCAGGACTGTTTCATAATGTAGAGAAGACTCTTCTCAATGCAGGACAGGACAATCATGTTCATTTGCCTGTCACTTCTCTACGTCCTTCATAATTCACACGCTAAATGAGTCTGCCTCATCCTGTGTCTCAGCAAATATAAAAGGGCAAAATACTGAAGTCAGAGCTCATAAAATAAGACTTCATGGCTTTCACATTGCATATTCTAGACTATTTATGAATATCTTATGAAGTATTGCCACTTCAATAATTAAAACCAAGCTCTTTGCCATGTAACTAAGCCTTTACTGTGATGCCCTGTCCTTACTTCTTAAATGGTGTGTGGGTACCTCTTAACTTCTCAGGTTCCTGAAACGTCGGCCATAGCCTCGCTCAGCAAGAGCCTGCTGCAGCGTTGGTCCTGTGCCTGCTATTATCTGTATTGTGACAGCAGCTGGAGGCCTTGGAGAAGATCCCTATCCCAAAGCACCAGGCACTGCACATAGATGCAGTAAGCTGTGCTCCCAGCAGGTTACAATGAGAGCTGGGGGAATCATCCTTCCCCAAAAGTTTGATTTTTCTTTGGAGGGAATGAACAGAAACAAAAAGGCAAATGGGTGATATTCTCCAGAATACAGATGGAGGCATTTGCAAAAGCAGCCACTCTAGAAGTAAAGTGTTTCCTCAGAGGATTTCCATCCTCCCTCTTCACAGTCTACAGGGACAAACAGTGAAAAGTGAAATGGGAGCTCAAAGGGACTGGCCCAAGGCCACGTAGCTAATCAGAGGCAGAGACTTTGCAGCTCAGTCTGAGAGATGCCACATCTCCTGGTTCCTACTCCATCGCCCTCCGCAAAGCCCTTGTTTGTCTTTTGTCTATACTGAGGCATTTGCCTCTCCAGGGATGTACTCCACTAACTTGCAGTTTCATTGCCTCTCTTGTGTATAAACTCCACATGCCCTTTCTCCTCCCATAAAAGACAGCACAGTCTAAAGCAAAGAAGAAACCAACAGAGCGATTTTGCACTGCTGCTTCCCACTGTAAAACTCCATGAAAATGGAGAGTAAGCTTGAAGCAGACTGGAGTATGCAAGGCAGGGAAGAGAACATAGGAGCAAAAAGTTTACATGAGGAGTTGTGCATTCTCACGTCAAAACAAAATTAAGCCAGAGCTTGATGTTTATTAAGGGGCAAAAAGCATTTACGGAAAATGTTTAAGTGTGTTGTAAGGTCTTTGGAACAAGGGGGAGTGCCACGCGGTTTCATCACGAATGCATCACTCACCTGGGGGCCAGGAGGCCCTGAGGGGCAATATGATTCAGGTATAGAGGAAGATTCCTCTGTTATCTGGAGCTCTTTCCAGAAGTCTTTCATATCAAGGGCAAGCAGCTTCTACATAAAATAAAATATATCTGTGAACATGCAGCCATGCATACATACCAGTCAGAGAAATAAATAATCACCAAACAGCACAGCCTGAAGAGAATTTATTCACTCCCTTAAAAAGAAGCTTATGGTTTGTCACAAGGTTATCTTCACGGATGCTTAAACATTACCACTTCAGCAGAATATCCTGTCCTATGTTTCCTCCCCCTTTCCCACAGGCTTGCCACGGCCAGGCTATAGGATGCCCCTCTAAGCCACCGTGGGACCCAGATCTATTCTTAGACTTGACCCCGCTTGCTCAGTCACATTTTACAAGTAGCAACTCCTCTCCAAAAATAGCATCTTTGCTCTAATAATATAAACTACACTCAGCAGGGGTACAGACAGAGTGAACTTCGCTCCAGTAGCTGTTAACCAGGAGACATTCGTTCACTGTAGATCAAAGCTGATTCCTTTAAAAGTGAGGGGAGAGCTCCCCACTGGCTGAAGACCTGGACTAAATGTCTAATCTTTTGACTTCTGAAATAGGTGAGATGAATCGCACCCTGAGGGAGTGGCTTGCATGAGTAAAGTGGCTTACTTATGTCCTGTGACAAAAGAAGTGTCCCCCGGAAATGCAGATGAACACCGAGAAACACGGGGATAACAAAACTCCACTCTCCAAACGAAATCTAACTAGAAACTCCAAACCAGAGACTACTAGTAATAAATTCGTACTGTTCCCACGCTCTTAGTAACTATTTAGCTTTATATTATGCTTTTATGGGGACACGACGTCAAGGATGCTTTTATGCCTAGATTACTCTCTGGGCTGCTTGGGGGAATCTCTGGGGTCCTCGTCCCAAACTCATCCTCGGTGAAGGACCCGTAGGAGTACACCGCATTTCCTAAGGAGAGCTTGTCTCTGGGTCTCCTTTCTGTGGACACCAAGGCACAGCGTGCAGAGAGGATGAGAAAAGGGGAGGCAACTATTTTTGGGTTTGGTGGGAGTAGTGCCCTGAGCTCAATCCGAATCTCTCTGAAGACAGCTGGGTTTTTCCACTGTACTTTTCGCTGGGTTTGTTCTTGTCAGATATATTTCTAATAATTATTTGCGTAACACCAACAATAATCTCAGTATTTGCATATGATAAGTGACTTGTAGAATTAAGATATAGGAATTACTAAGTAGGTAGAAAAATTCTTTATTTTGGGATGGAAAATATCTCACAATTGATAGATCCCTGGCAATAAGCATAAGTGGGCAAATTGATATATTGTAAACCCGTTACATACTGGATGATGTATATGTGAACAGGTATGCACGGATATAGAACAGGCATGTGCATAGGTGTATGTGTGAAAATGCCATACTAGCGACTCAAAGACATTTTTCTTTCTGCAAAATAAAATGGCAGGAACAGAATCCACAGCAGGATTTCAGGATCTTCACTTCCCCTACCACGTAAGGTAAATATGAGGCAAAATGGACACATATATAAGGTACATGCTGCAAAAGTTAACTGTGTGGGGTAGGAAATTGCCTTTCTGTTCCTTACTTGACTTATTCCATTCCCATTTCCTTTATTTCAGGATCGCCTTACTCTCAGAAAGTCCTCAAAACAGAGTAAGGAGAATATTTAAAGAGAATATAACTAACTATCTGAACAAACCCAGCCTTGCCTCATTCCTTGATCCGTTTCCTTCAGCCCCGGGCAGGGAGGCTGAGTGATTGCTCAGACAGAGCCACATCATCCCAGGGCACAGCCAGACGCGTTTGCCGGGTGACAGCATCGGCCAGCGCTCAGCGAGGCGCTTCAGACTTTGTCACGCGTTAAAAGCCATCTGCAAAAGAGAAGCGAAAGGCTTCCAGGGCCACACTCACTGTGCTCCAGCGGTGCCTGAAGTACGGCGGTGGGAACAGCGGCGGCGGCGGCGGGCCGAGGAAGCAGCACGCTCTGGGGCTGAGGCGTTTCTTCTGCTCCAAACAAGGGACATCTGTTCAATACAAACACTCAGCCATCGTCTGCCACACCACAAGTATCTCCTGCAGAGTAAGATGGGCTTCCACGCCAAAGGATTTTTCTACGTCCTGTGTCCGTCCCGACGTGGTTACACAAGCAGGAATTTAAGAATCTGTGTAGTCTTTTAAGTCTGTAGGATTGTTCTTATGCTGAAGGCTGTGCAATTTTAAGCCCTTAGCATGTCTACGACAAAGGCTTATTTTAGAAAATTTCAGATAGGCAATGTTAGAAAATAGGCTGAAATATATTTTCTCTCTCTCTCTTTCTCTCTCTCTCTCTCTCTCTCATTTCCTGCCACCATCACAGAAAAGTATGGAAACAGGGACAGAAGTCAGAAAACCACCTGTGAAGAGACGGGGGAAAAAGAAGGTAAAAGGCAACAGCTAGCTATGAGGAAAAGGCCTTATGGCCTTATGATAAACGGCAGGAGCAAAATGAAGGACTTGCATGGAGAGAGTGCAGAGGAGGCTTAGAACCGAGAGCTGAACCAAGAGCATTTTCAAGAGGAAAAGAACTGTCCAAATTACATTAACTCATTTCTTCTGTTCCACAGGAATATTAAAAATAGCATCTTCTAGTTCCCATTAGAGGCAGCATGCAAGCAGGAAGCACTCTCTGCTCCTGCCCACCGTCTTCCCAGTGGACCTAATCAGTTCAGGCACTTTGGTAACAACAGTGTGGGAAGTTGCTCCACAGCACATTTGCTTAGGTTTCCCATGAGACTGAAATCAGGTTGCCTATTTCTGATTTATGCATCATCACTGAATAAAGACTCGGCAACCCAGATTTAGCTGACAGCTTTGCCACAGACTGATGGGTAAGGCTTGGCCTTGGTTGTGTTCTGCAGTGCATTTACCCTTTTTAAGAGGAAAATAGCCATCAAAAAATAAGCGTCTGTGACCAAAGAATCACAGAGAAAAGAGGTGAAGCTGATGGATTTATATTGTCTTCTTTCTGAATCTATGCACTCTTTGGGAAATAGATCTCTGATCAGGATGAGGGACTTCTGCAAAGGCTTTGCTAAGCATTGCAAATATTTATTTATATTTATTGGATTCTTGCTCTGGTTACTAGCGGCTAGAATGGATGTCTGTGAACTGGAGGGTGGCAGGGAGCCAAATGCAGTCGGAAGAAAAGCCCATGGTAAATTATCTGGCATTAATAGAAAATCTCCAAATTAAGTTTATGAGAAGACAAATCTGGCAAAATTGCTAGATTTGTGTGCAAATCAAATGCAGGCAGGATATTAGTTACATCTCAAGCTAAGATGCACCTCTGAGGCACTGCGGCATGATGTACATTGGGATCAGAGACTGTCTCCTCTTTCACATTATTATACCACAGAACGTAACTCCTGCTCTTCCTGAGGACACCGTCCACCAAGGTTACATTTAGCAGTCTGGTTAAATGACTGAAAACAAGGAAATCTCAACGCTGTTCTGAAACTTGATGAGTAGCGTGATACGCCTAGAAGAAGAGTGTGTGTGAGGTACCTGGCAGTATAATTACTGCTCACAGCCACTGAGTGAATCCACTTCCACAGTATCTCATTCTGTGCTACCACTTGCTACATGCCCTTGTCATAAAACATGACTATTTTATTATATTAAGCCACATTAGTCCTGGCTCAGGACTATTTCTCATGCGCTTCAGCAGTGGAGAAGAGTCAGAGCACAGGTGAACAAGCGCTTGCTCTCTGCCCAAATCTCTCCTTTAGCGCCACGTTTGAAGCGTTTGTATGACACACTGCTATATCCCAGCTCCTTTCAGCTAGTGCTTTTACCTACCCAAGAGATTTCCAGTTTTTCAAATTCTTCAGAAAATATCTTATGTCTAGTTCAACCGCCCTCCATTAGCGAGGACAGCATTTCCCTCAGTCCTGCTCACAGAAAATAGGTGTCCACACGAATGTGATCTACCCAAGTGGCCACCCAAGAAGTAAGACAGTAGGTGCTTCATTTTTTCATTTTGTCTCAATAACAGATTTGTTAGTTAAGTCACAGAGGCGCCTCTGAGAACAGAGACCTGTTACAGTCGGTTCCACTGGTGCCAGATTACGACAGACTTTGTCTGTAAAGACAAGCCAGGCACAAGGTCCAAGGAAATGCATTTCACACACTTCATTTCAACTACTTTTCCTAACAATACTATTTTTATGAAGTGCCATTTCTTTCATTTCTCCAGCAAAAACTGCCTAAGATTCCTACTGGTAGCAGAATTCAAGGGCAGTTCTCATATTATCTAGATTTTTTTTCTCCAGCAAAATACTATTTGAGGTGATTCCTTTGAGAGACGACTCATTTAAACTCTGAAAGGGTCCATTAGTAAGAGCCTTCCTGAACTTTTCCTGCCAGGTTTAAAACTAAACAGAAAGATTCCACTAAGGGGAAAGGCAGAAGACTTTATGATAAAGACTAGAGATATGTTGTTTCATTTAAAGCTTTAAAGTACACACTGACAACACTAATGACCTTTAAAAAGTAGCAAAGGTTTGAGTTTCCTAGATCCATTTGCACCAGCAATAAAATGAGATGAACTGAAATGAAATGTACAGTTAAGTTCTGCATTGACTTACTTTGAATTCAGTCACTCTTACACAGCCGTAAAGAAATCTCTATTCAGTTTCAGCTGCACATACTTCTGTGGTTATCTTAGTTTCAGGATTGTACTTGCACATATCATATTTGGATGAAATTGCATATTATTAAAGCAATGGACAATCTGTAACTTAAAAGCATATAAAATGTGACTATTTTATTATACTAGGCCACATTCCAATATCATCAGGCTTTCTTAGTAATACCTTATTCCATGAGCTAGTTAACTTTCAATAGCATTACTATCAATCAGCATGAATAAGGATATCAAAATCTGCCCTGATATGGCCTAATTGTTAAGAGACCACTACCTGCCGTGGTAGAAAAAATGTTTATAGAAAAACGAAATTATTGCTGCAATTGTACTGCTACTTTAAAAAAAAAATTTTAAGAGCTGAAAATGTCATTCTTTAAATATTTTGCAAAAGGAAGATTAAACACAGATGTACACATAAAGGTTTAACAGGATACTTACCATGTCCTCAAAAGTAAAGCCAAGTCCTGGGTTAGACAATATTGTGATTTTCCTTTTAGGAAGCAAAGTCTGGAATTCTCTGGGGCAGTTTTCACTGTGAAAACTCTATAGCTAGTAAAGCGAGTAGCAAAAGTGCAATTGATTTCAGTCTTTACAGTCTTATTCCCATACTCTAATACCATCAGGTAGATTGAAACACAGTTGAGGTTTGGTTGTACAGAAGGTGGTAGCATGTACTGATCTCATACGCAGAGACAAGAAAAAATGTTATATAATTTTCACTGTAACTTTATAGCATACGGTTATCAATTATATAAAGACATATGTAGTTAAAATTTTGGCGGCTCCATCGTGAATCATGGTTATGTTCTGGAAGGTGTATTTGTAAAGCAAACGTGTAAGAAAGACTGGCCCTAGGCCTGAGGACCTCTCATGCCAAAGGGTGGCAGGTGGGTACAACAGGAGAGGGAGCAAAATATCAGTGTGACTATAGGTATGAATGCTATAACACAATCTTTGTATAAGGACTTCTTCTGACGAGTTTGGATTTTGTAGCTGCGATAGGTCCAAGGTGTAAAACCTTTACAGTTTTGGCTTGTTTTATATCACAAAAAGATTACTTTGCTAGGCTTACAGGCCCCCTGCAAATACACTACATGTTATTAGGCTCCAGCTTAATTTTGTTTGCTGTACCCAGCTTCATGATACTCTCATCCCCATGAGTGGAAAAAATGTCAGCCCAAGAATAGGACTGCCATAGTTTTCTATGAAATGTGAAGACCCTGCCTACACAGCAAGCTCATTTACACATCTTGTATGGAAACTGCTCTTTCAATATCTTTAGCAGCAAAGAAAGCATTCAATAGCAAAGGAAGACAAAATGAAAATGTCCTTATAGGCCTTGTCTAAGTGGTGGTTGAAAACATAAAACAGAGAACATAAAATTATAATAGTTGGCTTTAAAACAGAAATGCTTTAGCATTTTAAAATTCCAATTTTTATTACAGTCCAGATTATTTGTTAATATAAATCAAGAAAGTGATTATATAAATCTGTGAGTACAGTGGTAATGATCACTTCAAAAAATTAATATATTTTAGATAAGCTGCTGAAATATTTCCTTTTTTTTTTTTTTTTCTTGCAGGCTGCTTTTTGCTGGCTTTAGCCAGAAGTTGAAAAATCCTATCTGAGCCAGTTCAGCACAGAGCCCGAGGGACCCCTTGGCCCGCACAGAGCCCCACTGGTGCAGGGCTCGTGGTGCTCTCCCAGGGCTGACCTTAAACACTACTGAAAATGCCCCAGCTGCAACAGAGGTACTACAGGGAAGAGCTGTCCCGTGTTCAGTTTACAGGATTTTGTTGCAAAAAATGACAGGGAAACCATGACGGGCGTTTTAGCCTAAGACCACCAAGGTGTGGGCTAACTGGATCGACCACACTGTCGGAATAAGGGACGTGCAATGAAAGAGATGTGTAACGTGCCTCCCCCTTACTATTTGCAGCCACCTTCACCCGGCAAGCCCCGACCAGCAGCCGAGCTGCCACCCAAAGGCTTGTCACGCCGACAGTGCCTTGGGCAGCCTGCCGGCCCTGCGCCTTGGCGGGGACCTCTGCTCCCTGACGCCTCCTCCAGGTGCTTCTCCCACCCGGGCGGTGCGAATTCCTAACAAACAGCCTGGGCAGACCAGCGCGTCAACCAACAGGGCTTTCATCTGCTTTCCTTCCATTCATTCGGGTGCCTTCGACCCTCCTCGCAAGCACGGCGCCATGCCACAGGTATTAATCTATGTATTTATCGTAAGCTGACTGCGGCATTCGTTCCCTTTCAAGTTAACAGAGCCCTTGTGAAAGGTGCCTTCTGAGGACGCCACAGGTCAAAAATCCTCTATTTACAGAGCACAGT